TCATTGGACCATATGCATCTCGTTGTTCCTAATGCCACTACCTTGAGTCAAGGCCCTCCTTTCACCTGCCCCCTCTAAACTAGCCTCCAACCCAGTCTCTCTATTCACTCTGGACACAGCCTCACTCCAGCATCAGTGTTCAAAATCCATCCTTCCTGTTTTTGAATTTCTCTAGGATGATATTCTCACTGTGGCCTGCAGGCACAAGCCTCTGCCCCCCTGTCAGCCTCTTCCTGTACCCTGGCCTAGTCTCTGCCCTTTGGCCACATTGGCTGCTCCTCAGGACCTCAGCTCCACTCTTCTTTCGGTGTGGGAGGATTTGCCAGCTCCCCTCCTTACCCTCAAAGTCAATTTTTTCTAATCTTCAGAGTTCAACTCAAATGTCACTTGCCTGATTCCCAGACTAGATCATTAGTCCAGTTATACTTTCGTAGCTCTTAAGTCAACCGTAATCAAATATTCAGTCCTAGAACAATCTGTTGAATGTTCATCTCCCCCACAAGACGGCCCTAAGGGCAGGCGCTCTGCTTGCTGTGTTGCCCACAGAGCACAGTGCTTGCAATACGGCAGACATTCCGCTCGAGACTGGACTGGGTGTTGTTGAACAACAAAGACCTCTATCACAGAACGTTTTTAATCAAAGACAGAACAAAAAAACCAAACCCACTGCCACTGGGTCGATTCTGACTCATAGCAACCCCCATTGGATTTCTGAGGCAGTAAGTCTTTACAGAAGTAGATTGCCCAGTCTTCCTTCCATGGAGTGGCTGGTGGATTTGAACCACCAACTTTCTGGTTAACAGTCAGTTGTCTTAGGCATTGCACCACCAGAGCTCCTTTAATCAAAGACAGCCACAGTTAAACACAATCCTAAAACCACTGGAGCAGGACTTGCTGATTTGTGCTAACCCCACTGGCAGGGCTGGGGCTGCTGCCAGCTAATCTTGGGGGAGAGTGGCCAAGCAGCATCTGGGGAACTTGTGACTCAGAGGAAGTGAGAGGGAGAGAGGCCTTGTGGGAGATAAGAAGACTGCTTCTGGATAAGTGATAAAGTGTAACCAAAAATACCCAAATCTTATTTTGGATAAAATGTAGATGCTTTTAAGAGCACACAATGAAAACAAAATAAAGAAATCAAATCAACAAAGAAAATAAGCCTTAAAATGACCAGACTCCATACCTGGCTCAGCTCATAGTCTATGTTCATCCCATAAAGAATGTGTACTGCCACCTCGGTTGCCTCCATGTGTTTCCAAACAACTGTTTTGAGTCAAATAATATCTTAGGTGCTCTTTCCAACTCATAGTGACCTCCATTGGGTTTCCCAGGTGGTAAATCTTTAAGGAAGTAGATTGCCCCATCTTCCTTCCGTGGAGCAGCCACCAACTTTCTGGTTAGCAATCAAATGCCTTAGGCTCTGTGCCACCACAGCTCCTTCTATTTCAAATAGGCATAGTTATATCTTCAATATAAAGAAGATTTTTTCTTTTTTTTTTTTCCCCTAGCCAAATCTATCCTTGGTCTCGGGTATAGTCCTGTTCGCCTACCCCCATCTGATCTCAGCTGTCTACATGGTGTTTGGTGTTAGTGGTAATGCAGTGTTGTGCATATACTAGTATTTGCCTCTGTTGTCTATACTTTATGATAAAGAAACCTATTGTGAATCATTTTGTGCAGCGAATAAGCACTCCCCAATTCATTACTGATGTGACGGTTGGTGTTCGCCGGGATCCTTCTCATTCTGTGTGTCTTCCCTGGGGGATTTCATGACATTCTATGGCTTCAGCACGGCTTCTTTGTGATCCCACCTGGGTGACACTCAGCTGCCTCCTGGACATCTTAAATGTTCCTCAGACTGCCTAACTCTGCTTCTTCCTCCTCTTCTCATGAATGGCCTCCCACCCACCCCTCACCCCCCTCCCAGTAGAAACCTGGCTCCTATGTAGGAGCATGAGGGCAGACCCCTGAGTCCTGTGGTACCAGTGCAGGTTAGGGAATAGTTCCCACAGCTGGCACTGCAAAGCATTTCAAGGCCTGGAGCCTACTGGCGAGTAGAAGTGTGGCCTTCTGTGAAGTGTAATTTGTCAGTATGTGCAGTGTGGCAGGGATGATGCAGGCCGCAGCCCGTGGTTGGTTCTGTGTTCTTCTAACTTGGGCAGACTGCAAAGACACCAGACCTGAGGAGTCTGGGAGAGAGGCCATGGGGAACCTTGACTACCCCCACCATGTTCATCTCATTTATATCCTTGGACTCCTTATTGGGTGTTTGCAGAGTAAACCAAATGAAGGCAGCCTTGATTGTGGTCTGTGTGATAACCTGTCCCATCCTCCAGTTTGGACCAGCCTCTGGTTCCTAGCATGTTCTTCCTTTCCCTCATCAGCCCCCCATCTGTAGATTTCAATAACAATGAACTCGCAAACATACAATGAAGATCTAGCATGACCCAGGCACTGTGTTAAGTCCTTTTTGTGCCTTATCTTACTCAATTTTCACAACCCCTGAGCACTGTAGTTATACTCACTTTACTGTGGCTCCCACAGTCTTCAGGATCAAGTTCTAAGCCCTCTTCACATACAAAATGAGACATCTCACAACTTTGCACCAGCCTCCCCAAGCAGCCTTTTTTCCTGGCTTCACTGCCTCCCCTTAGAAAGCCCCACACTCTTGCCTGGCTGACATGGCTCCTCACAGAATGAGTTCTGGCCTGGCCCTTTCTAGGAAGCCTTCCTACAGTTGCCTCTGGGTGTCCCCTGGCACTTGCACACGTGCATTCTTCTGTGCCTACCAGCTGCTCCCTATGAGTGTTTGCATGTCTTTTCCTCACTAGCAGCAAGTTTCTGGTGAGGTAAAAGGCAGCTCTGTTTCTCCCATCTCCCTGGTGTCTGCCTTGTTGTTGGGTGCCGTCGAGTCTGCTCCAGCTCATAGCGACCCTATGTACCAGAGAAGGAAAACATGCCTGGTCGTGCGTCATCCTCACAATCCTTGCTATACTTGAGCCCATTGTTGACAGTGTTTCAGGGTTATTCATCATGTTTTCCAGGAATATATCAGACAGTGTTGTGTTCCACTGCTATTCATAAGATTTTCACTGAGCCAATTCTTTGAGAAGTGGATGGCCCCTTCCTTCTCCTGAGTCTTTCTTAGTCTGGATGCGCCACTGAAACTGTCTACCACGGATACCCCTGTTGGTATTTGAAATACCAGTGGCATAGCCTCCAGCCTTACAGCAACACACAAGCCACCACAGTGCAACAAACTGACAGATGAGTGGTAGTGGTGACTGGGACTTAGTAGGTAGGAAAAGTGGGTGAGTGAATGGACAGACTTATGTATAGGCATTTTCTAAAATGAAATGAATGTTTCAACTTATGCCAGAACTGTTTTCAAGATCGAAAATTAGTATGAGACCAAATGTTCAGCCATTACTTTGGAAAAAAAAAAATGAGAATGTAATAGGGGTGGGAAATTAGATTAATGGAAACAGCACAATCAGTATGGAAATAATGAGACTGTTCAAATATTGTGAAGAATGTAACCAAGGTCACTAAACAACTTGTGTAGAAACTGTTGAATGGGAACCTAAACTACTGTGTAAACCTTCACCAAAAATACAATAAAACATTATATATATATAATTATATATATATATATATATATATACACACACACACACACACACACACACATACACACATATACACACACATTAAAAATTAGTCCTAAGCAAACTAACTGCTGTGTGTGTAGTATCTTTTGGGTCTCCTTCCAGTGACATCTAAGCATTTACATGTTTAAATATCTTTTACATGAATGTTGCCACAGATTCCTATCTTTCCATTCTCCAGTTTCCCAGCATTTGTTAAGAATCTTTCATGGGATGGATGATATTTTGACTATTTAAAATAAGATAACCCTGTTTGGCAATTGTGTACCCTGGGCTAAAATTCAGAGGAAATTGATGTTTGCAGAGTCTAACTTAATCAAGATTATATGAAATAACTTCAGCTCCATGCAGCAGAAAGATTTCCTTTCTTCTCTAGAAAATTACTGAATGATCATTTTCTCTTTACAAAAAGAAAAAACGATGATGGCAAATAACAGAGTTCTTCTAAGACGTGCAGATTTCTTTAATGATATGGGTTTGTAAACTCTAAATATTAGTGTCAATTCAAAACTTTAGAAGTATGCCTACTTATGAAAACTGCAAAGGGAAGCAAGACCCTAACCTCTGCAGACATCTTCATGTTGAGAATTCATCCTGTCAAAGGATTCAGACCCATCTTCAGATTCCACTTTACCCCAGTATTGGTGTCCCTGGATCTGTGTGTGGCTGCAGCCCTTATCAGTTAGACCTCACCTTGGAGGTTGGTTCTTCTCAGCACCTTTCTTGACCATTTTAGTAAAAATAGCTACTTCTACCCGACTCCTGCCCTCTTTCTTCATAGCACTTCTCACTCTCTGATATCCCAGAGGTTGTCTGCATCTCCCATGAGACTGTGAGTGCCATGAGGGAGAACCCTGAGCTGTCATACTCACTGTACCCAGAACAAGGCACAGAGGGAGCACTGAGTAGTTGGGGAAGAAAGGAATTACTTTGAAGTACTTCCAAAAATCAGCCACTGAAAACCCTACGGAGCACAGTTCTCCTCTGACACACTGGGGTCATCATGAGTGGGCAGCAACTGGCTCCCAGTGTGTTTTGTTAGTTAGTGTCGAGTCGATCTGACTCGTGGTGACCCCATGTTTGCAGAGTAGAACTGTTTCACAGGGTTGTCAAGGTTGTGACCTTTCAGAAGATTGCCAAACCAAGGTGCCTCTGAGTGGGTTCAAACTGCCAACATTTTGGCTAGTAGTTGAGCCCTTAACCGTTTGCACCATGCAGGAACTGTCCATATTCAGGTATAAGATATAACAGTACTATTTGCATGCCTTGTTATCCCATGATATAAAGATGTTAACAGAGATTCCACTGTGCTAAAATTCAGCTTCTGTATTTCAGATTAATCAAAAAAAGGAATGCCAAGTTGACCTGGCATTTACCACAGAGAGCTACAACCAAGAGGTAAGCCACCATAGTTAGTGAAATATCCTATCAGCAATTCCTATGCATATGGTAAAAATAAAATTATGAAAATCTTTCTAGTGACCTGTGTTATATTCCTTGCTTGATAATTGTTTTCAAGAACTGAAGAACTGAGGTAGGCAAGTACTCAAGATTTAACTACCCCAACTCCATGGCCTTATGCAGGACTGCATTTAAGAAAGTCCACAGAGCCACCATCCCCCCTTCCTTAGGCCCCAGGAGACTATTTCACAGCTCTCTTTGGTATCCATCCCTAGCACCCCAGAGTCCTTAGAGTAACTTACTCTCAAATGCCAACCTGCTTCTCTTCCTGTCAGCTGGTGACATTTGTGATTAGCAGGTGGGTATAGCAGGCAGCACCAAGGCCTTCAGCGAAACCAGCACAGCACGGTGCTGCCAGCAACCATGATGAGCCTCACTACAGTTCTACCCAAGCAGGCTGCGTTTGGTCAGGTTTCCTTTTCCTTGTCATCAAGAAGAGAGGAAACAGGAAACTTACGCAGTATAGAAATTAGAACCAGACGAACGTCCATGTGCTGGGCCAAGCTGGGAGGCCTCAGCCAGAACATGGGTGTGGAGGAGACCCAAGCAAATCCTCTTTGTTGTTGGCGAGTCAGAGCTGCCTGGATGAGCAGGCAGCATCCAGCATTAAAGTGTCTTATGGTGGCAGAGTTTTGGAGGTGAAGCATGACTTTCCAGAAGAATGCTTACTTACCAGCACCGACATATAAGTTCTAACATGGCAACGCTATGTGCTGACTTTGCTTATTACCGTAAGAATTAAACATTTTCTTAAACCATCAGGAAGATGCCTTTGACTTCTAGTGTTGCAAACTGCAAGTGTAACATTAAAGCTAAAGGGAAACAAGTAATAGATTATTTTGACCAAAAATGTGTTTCTCTGGGTTTGACTCTTTAGATGTATCACCAGCGCAACTAGCTAACTGCAGTGTTCCATCTTCGGGGTAACAAGGGTTCTTTAATCTTCAGACAACTGCTTTGGTTCTGTGAAGCTGATTGGGGGAAAACAAGAGGTGGTAAAATCTGATTCCTTTTCCCTGGAAATGGCTTCAATGTCAAAGGAGACTTTGTACAAGTCCCATCTTCTGCCCCTTCCTGAATGTCCTTTTTACCTTTTTTTTTTTTTTTTTGTCCCTAATTGCACTGATATTTAGCATCTTCATGTACCAGTGGGACTCCCTTTCATTCAAAATTAGCACCCACAAGAGGAGAAAGAGGAGAAGTTGCCTGCTGGAAACCCTATTATCAATTTTTTGAGTTAGTTGTTGAAATAGTCTTACTAAGGTCTGATTTTGATTGCAATTTGTTTCCTTGTGGGCTTTTTCTTTTTAAATCTATTTCTGGTGGTGGTTGTTGTTTTAATTGGGACTCTACCAAATTTAAACAACTGATAAAGAGAAAAGAAAGTTATTGCCCCAAGTGCACCACCAACTAACTACCCTGAAATGCCCTTCCTTGGGTTTCTGAGGTGGTATCACTACGGAAGTAGATCACCCAATCTTCCTCCAAAGAGTGGCTGGTGGGTTTGAACTGCCAGCCTTCTGGTTAGCAGTCAAATGCCTTAGGCACTACACTACCAGAGCTTCTAACTACCTTGTAGAACAGGAATTCTTGACCTCAGTGGTGGTGGGGGAGGGTAGACCTGGATGGGCTGGGGGAGGGTGACACATGAACCTTCTCAAATTCTAGGCCCCGTGCTGATGATATGGGCATATGTGCATTTGTATGGAAAGAGAGTCTCTGACTTTTATTATTGGGTTAAGGAATCTGTGAAGAATGACTGTCACAGAGATGAGCTGTATATCTGATGTACAGTTGAAGAATCTATCTCTGTAAAGGCCACTACATCTATCAATGTCAGGTGTCTCTAGATTGGAAAATAAGTGAGGGTGATCCAAGAATACCCAGTAGACCTACATTTAAATGTGAATGCAAGCAGATACCCCTCAGTCACTTGGTAGTTGAATTAGTTTTATTTGCCTGGTCTGGGCCTCCATTTTCCAAACTGGATCTCAGTGTAGAGAAGTATGGAGTTAATACAGAACCTAAGCTCTGGGGTCAGACTGACTCAAGTTCAAGTCCTGCCTTACAACTTATTATCTGTGAGACATGGAACAGCTTCTTTAAACTTCAGTATCATAATATTGGAAAAGGACCTACCTCATAAATTAGTAGTCCACCACTCGTCTGTCAGTTTGCCTTACTGTGGTGGCTTGCATGTTGTTGTGATGCTGGAAGCTATGCCACCAATATTTTAAGTACCAGCAGCATCACCTACGGTGGATATGTTTCAGTAGAGCTTCAGACTAAGACACTTTAGGAAGAAGGACCTGGTAATCTGCTTCTAAAAAAAAAGGGCCAGTGAAAATCTTATGAATAGCAACAGAATACTGTCTGATGTAGTGCTGAAGATGAGTCCTTCAGGTTGGAAGGCACTCAGAATACAACTAGGGAAGAGCTGCCTCTTCAAAGTAGAGGAAACCTAAATGATGTAGATTGAATAAAGCATTGGAGACCTTCATTTGCTGATGTGGCATGACTCAAAATGAGAAGAAACAGCTGCAAAGATCCATTAAAAATCAGAACATGGAATGTACAGTGTATGAATCTAGGAAAATTGGAAGTTGTCAACCATGAAATGGAATGCATAAAGGTCAATATGCTAGGCGTTAGTTAGTTGAAATGGACTGGTAGTGGCCATTTGGAATCAGACAATCATATGGTTTACTGTGCCCAGAATGACAAACTGGAATGGTGTCACATTCATCATCAAAAAGAACATTTTAAGTACTAATGCTGTCATATGCATATGTCTACAAGGAAGACCAATAGTTAATATGACTATTATTCAAATTTATGTACCAATCACTAAAGACAAAATGAAGAAATTCAAGATTTTACCAACTTCTTAGGCTGAAATTGATCAGACATGCCATCAAGATGCATTGATGATTACTGTTGATTGGAATGTGAAAGTTGGAAACAAAGAAGGATCAGTAGCTGGATAATATGGCCTTGGTGATAGAAACAATGCTGGAGATCATATGATAGAATTTTGCAAGACCAATGACTTATTCATTGCAAATACCTTTTTTCAACAACATAAATGGTGACTATATATACATATAGATCCAACTGGTTGGAATTCCCAGGAATCAAATCATCTATATCTGTGGAAAGAGATGATGGAGAAGCTCAATATCATGAGTCAAAACAAGGCAAGGGGCTGACTGTGGAACAAACCATCAATTGCTCATATGCAAGTCCAGGTTGAAGCTGAAGAAAAAAACCTGTCCATGAGAGCCAAAATACAACCTTGAGCGTATCCCATCTGAATTTAGAGACCATCTCAAAAGTACATTTGGTGCATTGAACACTAATGACTGAAAAACCCATTGCCCTCGAGTCGGATCCAACTCATAGCAACCCCTCCTTAGGTTTCTGAGGCAGTATCACTATAGAAGTAGATTGCCCCATCTTCGTTCCAAGGAGTGGCTGGTGGGTTTAAATTGCCAGCCCTAATGACTGAAGACCAGAGGAATTGTGGAATGACATCAAGGAGATGATACATGAAAAAAAAAAAAAAAAAAAAGCAAAAAGGGCATTGAAAAGATAGGAAAGGAAGAGAAGACCAAAATGGATGTCAAAAAAGATTCTGAAGCTTCTTCTTGAGCGTGTTGTATTGTTGTTGTTATGTGCCATCAAGTCGGACCCAACACATAATGACCCCTCCTTGGGTTTCCAAGGCAGTATCACTATGGAAGTAGATTGCCCCATCTTCCTTCTGAGGAGTGGCTGGTGGGTTTGACCCACCAGCCTTCTGGTTAGCAGTCAAGTGCCTTCGGCACTACACTACCAGAGCTCCCCTTCTTGAGCATAGGGTAGCTAAAGTGAAAGGAAGAAATTATTATTTCAAAGGGCAGCTCAGGAAGACAAAGTATTATGAAATGTGCAAAGACATGGAGTTAGAAAACCAAAAGGGACGAACAAAGCATGCTTAGTATTTCTCAGGCTGAAAGAACTGAAGGAAAATAGTCAAACTTTGCATTGCAATATTGATGGATTCTATGGGCAAAATATTGAATGATGCAGGAAGCATCAAATGGAGACAGAAGGAATACGCAGTCACTGTACCAATAGAATTGGTCAACATTCAGTCATTTTAGAAAGTAGCATATGATTAAGAACCAATGGGAAGAACTTCCAGTAAGATGGAGGAATAGGCAGACAAGCTACACAGATCCTCTTCAACAAAGAAAAGAATAACCAGTTGACAGAGATACAGAAAATAATCCTGGAGCCCTGAGCTTTCAAAGGGACTATACAGAAGTGGATTAGGCACCAACTAGTGGAAAAACCTGAATGAAAACGTGAGTACAGAGATGGTTGGAGCTGCAGACTGTCAGCTACTCTGATGAGACCAAAAGCCTGAATATTTCCAAGTGATGTTGGGACCTGAGAATTGACCTAAAGATCAGCCCTGGTCACCAAGGGCTGCAGGGATGACTGCACTGGTGGCCTATGACTAGGAAGGGAAGCAGCAAGGAGACAGCCTGAGCTGTGGACTTTACACTGTCTTCAGGGTGCAGCCATTTTGATTGTTTACACGTGGCAGCCATTTTGGATATTTAAAGTGACCGAGGGTGCAACCATTTTGAATGTTTATAAGTGGCAGCCATTTTGGATATTTGAAGTGACTGAGGGCACAGCCACTTTGAATTTTTATAAGCAGTGGCCATTTTGGATATTTAAAGTGACCAGGGGCATAGCCATTTTGAATCTTTGCAAGTGGCAACCATTTTGGATTTTAAAGTGATAGCATTCTCATTCGGGTGCCAGGGGCCTAAGAATAGGCTCTGTTTGCCAAGGTCAGCAGGGACATATGAGAAGCTGACAACAGAAAAGGAGACAGGTGGTGAGTGTGTAATTGCTGTCATCTAGTGAACAGAGGAGCACAGTACCCTGCTTGTATAGAAAGCATACAAACAAAACAAAACGAAAATCATGGACAAGTCATTCCAACATACAATCACCAATTAAATATAAACAAAAATGTCACAATGCCCTGGAGACAACAGAGTATCACAGTCCACACAAAGAAGCAAGTTAAAGCAGGAGAAACAAGGGACTGGGATACAGACCCAAAACACATCCCTGAGGAAGACACAGCATTGGAACTCCCTGATAAGGAATTCAAAAGAATTATATTTAGGTATCTTCAACTAATTGAGAGACAGATCAAGGAAAACACAGAGAAAACTCTAGAATAATTTCAAAAGCCAATACAAGAACAAAATGACAAAATAAATGAAAAATTAGAAATGATACAAAATCTACACATAGAAATCCAGAAGATTAATACTAAATTTTCAGAAATAGATAACACATTGAATGGGCAAAGGAGCAGAATTGACTCAATGGAAG